AAAGTTACTTGATAGGTTTTTCTTATAGCACTGTGTGTTAAGGTTAATTCTGTCGCATAAATTTAAATTTGTTTATTTTTTTGATTATTCAATGCTTATTTTATAGACAAAAACCAAATTTATTCCAAAGATAGGAACATGATTGCTTCTAAGTGTCACGTTTGCGTGATGGTGGTGGACCCCAAAAAGCAGGCAGGAGGGAGGAGCAGGGTGTATTCGAAGAAGTGTATTTAAAACAAAGAAAACTAAATCCAAAACAAAGTCCAAAGTAACAAACAAAAACCATGACTTAAGATAAAACATAACACTGACCAAAACCTGACAAACAAACATGACAGCAAACAAACATGACAGTAGCACAAAGCAACAATGACCCGCCAGTGAGTGGTCGGGCTGGGAGTCCTTTTATAGCTCCAATTACCAAATTACCAACAGGTGTGCAGCTACAGGGGGAAAAGCCCCACAGTGCCACCTGTTGGTCACAAACCGAAACGTGACATTGGTGAGGTAGTTCTGTTGCGTCGGAGGCCACTCCGCACAATATATCGGGAGGCCTTCTGCAGCATTGTTAGTTGCAAATCTATCCATCCACGCAGTCGTATTTTGAATGCCTTTGGACACGATCGTATCCATGTATACGCGTAATATTTGGAATCGAATGTTTTCGTAAACAACAGCCAGAGTTATTCACTGATCATGACGCCTACCTTTATGCAAATCCTTGATCACAAGCAAAAGGCCTGCTCTCATTCATCCGCTTTGTACCACTGGAAAAAGAACTTCTTCGAAAACATGACCCAAGTCACACTTTGACCGGAGAACAATAATGGTATTTTTTTAAATCGTGTAAAAGTGTAAGGGCCGCTAATCTCTGGTGAAACCTGCAAATGCTTGCTGATCTGACTATTTGAGTCTACCGCGAACCATAGCAACATGGTTGTGAGCGTAGAAACCTTTTTCAATACCTCAGTTATTGATCGAAATCAACAGCTTGGAGAGAGGCGCCGAGGCAAACAGTGGATTGTATTTCACCGATAGAGGGGTGCACCGTTCCTGGAGATACTGCAATACCAGGTCGATGCGTGGAGTGGACGGAGCAAGCCCCTATTCCATCTCCCAGTTCCAAAAATCAATTTAATATATGGTCCCCGGATAGGGGACGTATCAGATATTAAACTGATAAGAACAGATACTACACTTGATCTTAGCCAAAAGGCCGAGAAGCGATAACTTGACAGCTCACACAGGAGGCCACTTGATTTCCGACGGTGCGAGCTACAGTGGCGGTGACAAACGCCGAGCAACCACAACGAAAAACATTTACACACCAAACAACTACACAAGCAACCGAACTGGAAATGAGGACGGCTGTGTCGTTTTCCAGCATAATAAAGGAAACAAATACCGAGCAATTGTTGATTACAGCAAGTCACGTGGCCCGTGGCGGTCCAATAGAAAAGCACCAAGGAACGTATCGCTCTTTTAATGGCATCTCCGTGTTTCTGAGACGAGCAAATAACTCGACGAGGGTTTTTCCCAGAAATATTACAAAAGCACCATGGTTCGTTATCGGACTATTGTGTTGATTTGCCTGGATTCAATGAAAAGAACGCTCGGTCGTCACGTGATTCACGTGGTTGGCCGAAAAGCATTTTGCTTTCAACTTATCACGTTAACATCGTCGTAGACAACCAAATCCAAACCCCGGAGTTATTTTCCATTACGGCGTACAAACGGGCGTTGTTGGTACATGCTGGGGCAAAAAGCAGTTTGGACGTTTGATCGACATTTGACGAAACTACACGGAAAATCATCCCACCCGCCGGGCTACTTCCTGTGGGCTTCCTGAACTACTTCCTGTGTAACAAACGAAAAGGATTACGTACTAGTAGAGCGCCAACATCGCAGTGGAGGTGAACTACACACCTAAATGACAAGTACCGGCGGCTTTCGAAGGAGTGCGCGGAGACGCTAATCGACCGCGAACTGGCTCGTTTTTCTCCTTCCGCTACCGAGAGGATGAAAAATAACGCCACCGTTTGTCAAATGGTTTGCGTAAGGATTTTGACCACTCCCTTTCCCAATTATGCATCCAAATTAAGCAGGCCCGGCCCTTCGAACAAATGCAAAAACATTATGATTTATTCTCAAGCGTCACTTTCAGCTCCCAAAACTCACATGAGACGGCATGAAACGCGCGCTTGTGTTGAGGTTATTGAAGGTCATGAGCGTGGGCCCAAAATGCCAATGAATCATTTCCTCACCTGTCGGTATAAAGTGACGTGTTAACTGGCGTCAAACCTCCCAACTGTTTACCTGAAGGTTATTTTCGACAATCCATGGGAATATGTTCGCCCAAATTAATACTTGCAAGCAGAAGTCGGCGGCGCAAATGACAAATTTGACAGACAGACCACCACCTATAAACAGTTTTAAAAACTCTTGAATGAGCTCCCACTGAACATTCGACAAGCCTCCTCGCTGCCCATCTTAAAAACTCGTCTCAAAACTCATTTGTGTTCTTTGGCATTTGACTCAGCATGACTCAGACTTGATCTTCGTTTTTCTGTTTTGTGCTTTCTACTGTCTTCGTTATTATTATTTTATTGTTGTATATATGATATTTACTCCATGTACAGCACTTCTTATACAGCGAGGTTATTTTAAAGTGCTCTATAAATACAGTTGAGTTGAGAGTTGAGTTTAACATCTCTTCTGCATCTCCCCGCACACTCAAACGTAACAAATAAAGTTTGAGTGTGCATCTTCTTTTTTTTTTTTTTTGTTAAAGCATGTTCATGAAGACCTAGATTTCGTAATGATCATTTTAATAATAAGGGGAATATTTCATATGAACAAATGTGAAGACACCAGCCAAAAACCTACCATTACACACTTTAACAACTTATAATTGACTATTCTTACTATGCGGAAGGTTTTTGCTGCCATCCATCCATTTTCTAATCAGCTTATCCTCACAAGGGTCGCGGGCGTGCTGGAGGCTGTCTTCTTTTTTTACTTTTTTTGAAAATGTGAAACGAAAAAAAAAAGTTTTAACTGAGAAAGAAGATGCAGAGGGCAGCTTCAGACGATAGAGGGTGCTACTAGCACACAGGTCCCGGAAAATACCGTTGAACGTTCAAGACCTTTTTCACTGTAAATACTGTAGATAGAAATTGAAACTGTTCCACGCAAACTATCTGTATATCTGGTTCAAGCCATTCCACGTAGCGTGTGTTATTGCACATTTGTGAGTGTTCGTCATAGCCTTTCATGTGGAAATGGTTTGGAAACGTGTTTTTATTTGAGAAAATGCCCCCGCAAACGTGCGTAATGTGTGCTGCAGTGTGACCGCGGAAGCGGGTCGTCGCTCGGTTGTTGAGCCGAGTGATTCCGTAATTGGTCGAAACTTGCCGAATCATCTGTCCTACTCGGACGGCTGGAGAAGCGGCAGGCAGCTGCGCCATGTTGGCCGACTCTCACGTATATGTGCGGGCAAAAAATGACAGAAAACACACTTGACGAGCAGCACAACTAAAGCTTCCCACGCGGGAGGTTGAAGACCGTGTGGTTTATCTTTTTTTTTCTCCCCCCCTCTCGTGGAAACGAAGCGAAACCGGTGGGGGGGCCGGGGATCCGCAGAGGCTCTGGACGGGTTAGGGAAAGCTCCCCACCGTCCCCATGAAGAGCACCACTGATCCCGGCAGCGACTTTCCATGAAAAAAAGGAAAGATCCGTGTTGCTATTTGGGCTTCGTTATCCCGCTTCTCTCGGGGGCTTGGGGCCTGCTTTGACTCCATGTATGCGAGCTAAAACGACGGTATTTTCTCTATTTGGAGCGCTGTTTTGTTTTTAATGTGTTAGCTCTTTCTCTTTATTTATTTTTTTACGATGAGTTTACCACCGAAAGTAGTCCCCAAACCCGCAGCCGCCGTCGCCGTGAGTGGACCTGGAAGCGGACCCTCTCCGTCGAGCCAACTGCGGGCTACCCTGACCTCCGTGTCGCTGCCGCCAGGAGCCCCAACAGTCCCCCAGCCTGGAGCCGTGCCGCCAACTCAGTATCCTTTTGACCCGCACGGTAACACTTATTTGTGGTTCACTAACACCTTTTCTCCCCTTTGAGTATGCGTCAGATATTCGACTTTTCTTAATGATAGCGGAGGCTGGATTGTGATGGTGGTTGTGGGAGGGGAGGGGGAGAATTAGCTAGGATGCTAAATGTGCTAACGCTTGCCGGTTTTCGAACGCCATGAACCTGGATTAGTTTGTTTTGGGGGAGACGGTAGCCCCCATCACAACGCCACACCCAAAGTCAAAGTTAAACTATTTATCAGTAATGGTTATTATAACTCTTGCTTAAGTGTCAAGGCGGGCTGACATTGTTTGTTAGAGCCAGGCTTTCGTGGCTCTTGACACCGGTTACCGGCACCCGGCCGGCTTTGTTCGCTCATCTTCGGTGGCTCACCTCATCGTTCGAGAAGTGTGCTAATGTTAGCCCCCAAAATAAGGCCCGGTTTTCGGCAGGGGGGTGATTGTAATACACCCTCTCGTTGTTGAGCGAGATGAAAGGGGTTGCACCCTGACAGGCCTGTCACTTCTCAGCTCGACGAGCACTTAAATCAGCGATGTCCATCTCCTGTCTTCGAGGGCCACTATCTTGCCTGTTTTAGATGTTTCCCTCCTCAAACACCCCGATTCAATTGATTAACTCATCAGCAAGCGCTTCAGAAGCCTGATATTGATTCTGATCATTTGAATTAGGTGTGTTAGAGAAGCGAGACATCTAAAATAAAAAAGGATAAGCGGCCCCCGAGGACTAAGTTTGGACAACCCTGCCTTAAATCAAGCGTTCTCTAGTGCTTTGGATCTAGCATGGCTTTTCCTAGCTCAAGTTGAGCCAGTGGTAGTAGTGTTTTGATCATACAATCGTATTTTCTGTCAAGTATTTACATTTTACGCTACATCTCTTTAAAGCTAAACACATTAGGTGCAATGCTCGTGAGTTTCTTCACTGCAAACTCAAATGAGCATGGTTAGAAAAAGAAAAATTTAGCCTAAACTCCCCCAAATCGTCCTACTTGTTGGCAGTAGAAAAGAAAATCAAAGTAACTTCCATCTCCTGCCGATATAACAGTTGCTGTTGTTAAAAATAACCCAACTAATGCAATGCTGGTCCGTGATAATATTTTCTGTCGTTTTCACATTTTGAATGGTTCTTTGTCTATGTGCATGGGATTGGTTCGCCACCAGCCCAGGGTGTCCCCCATGTCTCTAGTCTAGTCTAAAGGTTGGTGGGTTAGGGACCAGTTCACTCATGATCTGAATGCAGAAAAAGCGCTAAAAAAATGCTTGATGTTCACACGCTGAAGTGCAATGCTTATCACAACAACGTGGTTGGACCAGTGTTGCCACCTTAGCAATGTGGTCACTCCATTTAGTCACTATTTTCTCCCAAAACAACTTCTCGTGAGTTTTGTTTGTTCTTTTGATGTTGTTTTTCACAGAACAAGAAAGGGGTCTGTGGAAGGCAATCAAGGAGTCACTGATGCTGAATTGTGCCAAAGCTTTCCCAAAATATATTTAGCAAAAACAGCGATTTCAACACATGCTTAACTCGAGATACATGCTTCCAAGCCACAAATATTTCACGGAGATCCTTTTGCATAACTCTACAAAAAGTGCAATAGCATTAGAAATTCATGCAGGGATGTCAAATTTATGTGACGCATAGCAATCATATCGCTGGTGTTCGGCCGGAAACTCCTTTGGCACAATTTGGTAAATTTAATATTTTTCACAAGTCCATACTCTTTTTACCAATTTTGACAAATCTTAAGTCTTGAAAATGGCAATATTAACTGCTGAACAAATGTCGTTTTTGGAGTCTCCTGAAAAGTCCTGATTTTGAAGTAATACTACCGATATCTGAGCTTTTAAATTACCCAAAGCTAAGTTCGGAAGGAAAACTTGGTTTAATTCAGTTAAGTTAGATATGCATGTTTTTAAAATAATAAAACATACATTATTGCAGATACATTTAAGTTGAAGAACCACTGTATTAAGTATAACCAAACCATCAGAAGACGTCATAACATGTCGCGGAGCCTTTAAATGGTTGTCTTACTAAATGGCTTCGCTGTCTGTCAAGCATTCACATCCAGAGCATGGTGCAATGCCAAATGTCATTACTACATGCCACCGCTGGCCTATTTTCCCTCACCGGTGTCGTTGCAAGGTGTTCACACAGAGGACAGGCTAGCCTACTTTAGAGTGGAGTGAGTCACTCAACTTATGTCATCTCCAGTTACAGTTCCAACAAGGTGTCAAGTGCGAGATCATAGCCAGTGCCATCTCTGCCTAGTCAGTCAGTAACCCAAAGAAGGTTGTTGGCTGATCTTCACTGCTGGTCTAAATGTCCAGTTCAGAATTAATGACATTTTGTCAGATTTTTTTTGATGATTTACATATTCATTTTCAGTAATTCATCTGTGACTACATGAAACAAGCAAGATACACAGACACCCATATTGCTTGTAAATAATGACATATGTGACAACACGTATGAAAACTATCATCTCTGGCTTACACAAATAATTTGCGGTTCAGCACCCTCAGATTCAGGTATTTAAGATTTGTTTTTTCAATGTATTTTAATATTACTTTGTTTTTGGGGGTCAACTCCCATTTTTTATACAAAATACTAATTAGACCTTAATTCAGGTTTTTTAATGACTTTTTTTTTTCCTGTTTGTTTCCCTTTCCCTTTTTCAATATTCCTAATGGGCGTTGATTACCCCCAAATTTTCACATTTCGTGGGCTGGCCCGAGCTTAATTCCCAACTAATAGCGGGGGTCCACTGTATTTATGGCCCAGAAGTGTTTGTTATCCAAATATTTACTTTTATTGACTTTACAACTGCTTAAATGTAAGTCAGTGATAGTCTTTGGTGCAATGTGACTTACAGCTTTGGGTTGCATCACCTCAGTAGGAATGCCACTGTCGGAAACCGAAGACCCCACAAACCAAACCCAATTCCAATTAAGTTGAGATGTTGTGTTAAACAAATAAAAACAGAATTCAATGATTTGCAAATCATGTTCAACCTATATTGAATTGAATACATGACAAAGACAAGATATTTAATGTTCAAACTGATACGAAGGTAGCAGGACCAGATCGACTTCTTACTGGCCAGACGTGGAGCCCTGTGTCGTGGCTCCCTGCCATCGAGGCGGCTGAGTAGCTCTGCTACCGCCGCCGCTCACGCAGCCAAGTAGCTCCGTGGCTGCCACCGGTCAGGCAGCTAAAGAGCTCCAGGGAGCCTGTGTCGTGGTCGCCCTCCTCCTTGATCTTCTTATCGTGGACGCCCACCTCTCAGATAGCCGAGGAGTCAGCAAATTAATGTAGCGTTGGTAGCATCACGCTAATAATGCACTCTAAGAATTAATACAAAACCTTGTAAACGGGCGTTCTGTCAGCCATGCATGCCATTTAGTTCCTGATAGTAAAACGGCCATAAACAGTTACCTTGTTATTGATGACTGGTATTGTTTGACGTCGCGAGTGCCTGATTCATTGAAATAAGGCCGGTATTGGTCTGAAACGAGGGCTGAACAATTTTTCATTTTGGGACCGAAGTTCCAATCATCGGGCAATGGGATTTTGAGATCATCAACGCTTTATGTTTTTAAAAGGCTCTTATCCCCACACGCTCATCAATCGGCAGCATGCTACTATGCACAGCTCACACTCACCAGCTCCAAACTAGTTAACAAAAAAAAAAAAAAAGTGTTGCGTCTACGTCACGCTGTCACTCATACACTTAGAAGTCTTTGCTTTCACGGCTGCTTGAGAACACTCGGTATTCGCGCTCAGCAACAGCAACAAACTGTGTGGTGCAAATCCTGTCCTACGTGGTGACAAATAAACTACCCCACTAATGAGTACCACTTTAACCGAGGAGGCGAATAAGGAGTCACTGAGCATGCAACAGTGAGCAAGAGAGAACATGAAATAAAGAAATGATTGCCGTTTCATATTTGAATAACCCAATCAGAAATATTCCCATTATATTTTTACACCGACACTCAGCATTACTGTTAAGACCACAAGATTCAATTCATACCATGATACGGATTTCAGGCCATATCGCGAAGCCTTCAGTCTCTGTTTGAATTGTTAAGTCTTGAGCAAAAATATGGGAAAAAAATATTTAGATAAATACATTTATGCACATAAGTACAAAATATAAAACATTTTTGGTTGAAAAAAAAGGAATTTTTAAAAATACAGTAATAACACATAATTACATATTTCTACATGAAGGAAAATAGTGCAGTAGGTCTTGCCTTATTGAATCATTTTGATAAGCTTAAAACGGACCGCCTTCCTCGCTCAACCTCTTGAGTGTCTTGCATCAGTAGCCCAATCGCTTTTAATGTTCTGATGGTATGACTGATGATGATCATTTTCTGTCATGTTTATAAATGTCACTGTACATTGTGAATATTGCACTGAAGCTTGATTTGAAGAAAATCACATTGAAATGGCAATATCTGTCAGACAAATTGTGATTCAGTTGTATACTAAAATCGTTCAGTCCGAGTACTCGCTCACCCTTCATGTAGATAGCGTTAATGCACATGTGTTTTTACTGGGTAGTTTGGGTCTACTGATAAAATGGCAACAGCAATGCCTGTCTCCGCACTAGCCTGAACCAAACGTCCCCTTTCACCTAACCTCTGGCACCATGTAGACTTTATATCGCGTCTGGCACATGACTCCCCAAAGGATCATCAGTTCCCACTTGCTGGGTTGTTAACTCTTGCGGAACGACAAAATGGTGTGCTGCCTGTAGGTATGTGTCCATGTGTAGTACGTTGCTGTTCCTGGTTGCCAGAGGAACGCTCAGCGCATGTGTCTGATGCCGTGCAAGCTCTGACAACGGCGTTGCTGCTTAGCATTCATTGCGAGAGTCCAAGGTGGTGCTTCCCACCATCTGCCAACAAAGGCCCAGATTACCCAGCCTTGCTTTAGACCCCCTCCTGCTTCCACAGC